TATTATTATTATTATTATCGTTACAACTTAAAAGCAAATCTCAAAAAGCCTGAAAAAGTCTATTATTCCGCATATTTTTGACGTCATAAATTTCGTCATACGACTTGTTTACTGGGAATGAACAGTGAAGTCCTATGCTATTTTTAAAAAATGTCTTTAAAATGGATGCGGTTTAAGTTTCGGGATTTTCTGCCCTCGTCACGTGATTTGCCACTCGAAATAGTTAAAGGGGTTAGGGTTAATGCAAAAAATGCATTACAGTGATAGTTAAGAGGGTTAGCTCTAGGCTTCTATATGTCTCTTTCTGAAGTTTTACACTCGATCGAATTTTGAAAATTAAAAGTTTCAGTAAAAGAAAAAAGCAAAAACAAAAACAAAAATTCGTGGGTCGCAAAGTAGCTAAAAGCTACCGGACATTAACTCATCTTGTTTTTGGGGGTGACATAAAGCTTTTTTCAGTAGGTATTATTGTAGATCTGCAGATCATAATTGAAATAACATGAAAACTTTTCCATAGCATGGCAGACGTTATAAAAGTTCCAAAGCTACCATCTATTTAAAAAAAAATGCGGCGACGCCGCGTGCATGTATCTATGTTTTTGACCATGATTGAGTATCAGTTGTTTTGCGAAGTCTGAAGTGTGAAGCTGCAGCCAAAGGCGATATATTTTCTTAGCATAAAAATCGTTTTTACTTACGTGGCCAGCACACATGCAAATTTATTGGAACAAAAGAAATAGTTGACACAAGAAAAGACTTCAACTTCCATAGGGTTGGTTTGGTACACCAACACAGTCGCCGTTTGATTGCTTTGGGACACCAAAATGCATGGCTGCCGTCGCGTCATGTATAGTCAGAGAATATGAAAAAGTCTTTTAGAGTCTGCAAAACGCTATGAAAACAAAATTCACTGCACTAAATGTATGCTGATTTTGTTTTCAACTAACCTGTGTATCGAGTCTATTGGTTTTACAGGGAGGTGTTAAAGTTTATGTGTTTTCATACTCAAATACTAAATGACAAAACGATTGATAACTAATTAAAAACAAGTATATTTTATCTATTTGTTACTAAATCAATAAAATGAAAAAGAAAATTTTGCTATTGAATGTAAAATTGGTAAAAATCTCCACTGATGGGAGCCTAAAGTTACATATCTATAATTAGTAACTACTTGCTACTACGAAATTATCTCATGATTGAGGGAAAATTACAGTTTTACCTTATTTCATGTGAATTGTCTAGCATGTTCAACGAAAATATCAAGACAAGTTTTAGGAGTATAGTGTTTGCTGTACCGACTAAGTTTCAAATTTCTTCAATCGAAATAACGGTTCTTGTAGAAACGCAAGTTTTATCTGTCAGCGGATACATATTCCAACATCAGGTTGGTGGAAACAAAATAAACTCCTCTTTATCTCTGTTCCGGCCTTTTGTTTCTGTACTGCCTCGTTGGAGAGATCTTTATCCTTTGTCTTGTATTGACAGAATATGGTCAGTAGCAATGGGCAAACACCATCAAGATATTCTTTGTGGATTAACAACGAATCTGTAAAATATTGTTAATGACACAGAGATAAAAAATGCTTACGTCTATTCCTTGAATGACGCCCGTTATTTACTGGTTTATATTAACAAATTTCATTGTGTTGTTAAAGTTCTCGGTACCGATATTACCTTACATTAGCAGGAACCGAAGCTGCCCCTTCACTCAGTCTTATAAATAACCTTTTTTTCTCTTTTTCATCTTTGGTTAAAGAAGACGAACTCAGGAGAGAAACTCGAACAAAACGGACCACAAAAGGACACCAAGAAAACTGCTTCCCAAGGTTTCAGGTAAGGAGAGACCAAGAACGTTTGTAAACAACTGTGTTAAAAGTTGGTTTTTGTGAAGCAAACATTCACGTTTTCATAGAAAGTAGGAAAGATAAAAGGGGGAAAGAGCTCTTCCCCTTCTTTCTCTTTCTTTCCTGGCATGCAAAGTAGAATGAGAGGAGAATGGTGATGCACTCCCCGGCAAAGGAGGTATAATCCCTCGAGATGAACCAGACATTTTACTGTCGAATTGCTATCGGATGCTCTAAACCTTTAACTCCTTGGCAAGGGCATTGCGAATCAGCGAAACAGATAGTTCGTCTTTAGGCAGTACCCGGATTACTTGTCCTGAGAACCATACCAAGACGCACAAAAGAGAAAAGATATCACTGTGACTGCTCAGATTTGTCCGGGTGGATTATTCACTTTCCGGATACTTATCAGTTTTTAACGAGACTTTGGAAACGCATTCTGCTCCCATGAAGTAAAGTTGTTCTATTGATCATGACTGTTCGGATGTTGATGTTAAGACAGGAATGATCATCGCAATTAAGAACACAGCAGCTCGAAATCAATCTTTCATTTCTTCACTTCTTTCTCCGCAGTTCAAATACATGATCTTTCATATTTTCACTTGCATTCTTCCCCATAGGAACTTCATGTATTAGCGAAGTAATTAGTATTAATTTTAGCGCCATTTTCTCATAACTGTCTTGTTTTGATCTTACTCCTGCAAAATATTGCGTGAGTAATGTTTCGGTTTTAAATACAAGTATGGGTAATGAAATGATTTTCGGAATTTTCACAAAACGTAATATCGTGGGTGACAAATTACGCTTACAATCGTGGGCTTTTGACTTGTTTATTGTATCGAGAAAAGTCGCGCCAAACGTTGCCATGGCAATTTTGTAATTTTACATGTGAAATTAAACATGCGCGCCAAAATAAAGGAGTTATTTGTCACCCATGATATTGAGTAATGAAACATCGCGGTTTACTTGGTCGAACGGGCTAGAAGCGTTTTGATTTCTTTCTTCTTCCTATGACTAAGGGAGTTGTTTCCCTCCAGTTAACATATCACGTCACGTTTTGGCGACCAGAGAAAGCTTAGTTCCCAGGAATCACGGACTTCATATTGATTGGCATTAAGAAATTGAGAAATATAGTAAGTCATCCGTCAACGCATCGTATTCTTGGGACTGTGTAAAAATGCGTTAAACAGCAAACGCACTAAGTTATGCGACCAAATGTACAAGACTCTATATGTAAAATTAGCGGGGTATGATAATCATAAAGTGATGTCTTCTTAAAATAACTAAAAATTAAATAAACTGTATACTTTTCTCTGAATTTCCTTCTTCTGGGATCCGTTGTATTTTTCTATAATCCTGATTTCGAATCATATGATAATTAACATATAAAGAAGCCTCGACTGTGCTCTGTTCTGTTGTAAAGCACGCAGGAAGCGGTAGAGCACGAATGAAGTGTAGGGGGAAACACGAGACGTAGTCGAGTGTTTTTCCCCATTTCTTGAGTGCTTACCGCTTCCTAAATGCTTTATAACAGAACAGAGCACAGTCAAGGCTTCTTTATTTGTTTTATGATAAAGAACTATTAATTTCCCTACGTATTCGCCTGAAGTTTCAAATCAAGTTTTATTTTCTGAACGAGTAAAAGTGGCGTCAGCCGCGCTCTGTTCTCTGATAAAGCACGCTAAAGTAACCCAATCACAATCCTTGTTAGAATTGTTCAAATAATTTGATTGGCTAACGAGACGACAGCTGTCAATCACAAACTGGAGCTCAGCTAAGCTTTCAGTTTCGAGTGGCTTTTGAGAGAAGAACAATGCTTCAAAGTTCGCTTTTTAGTTTAATTTTAAATAAGGATCTAAATATTTCTAGTCTAGAGAAATCTGGCCGCATCGTGGCTCATGAAAACGTGCAATTTCCAAAGGAAATTACGAAACAAGGAGCTCAAAGCTTGCGGATGAAATTGCGAAATGCTGAGTTGTATTTGAAAGGAGCTACAGTTATTTACGGCTTGCAGCAAGATTGCCAGAACTAGCGTCAGGAAATTACGAAACAAGGAGCTCAAAGCATGCGGATGAAAATGCGAAATGCTGAGTTGTATTTGAAAGGAGCTACAGTTATTTACGGCTTGCAGCCGCTTGCGCGCAGCCGCTTGCAGCAAGATTGCCAGAACTAGCGTCAAAGTTGGAAGACTAGACTACTCCCGCTGGTTCTACTCCGAGTACAGGAGAGAATATTAGAGCAAGCTTTCAACTGATCACTCGTCGGGTGAGTGGTGATACGAAGCTGTTGAGGTTCACTGACTTTGCTGAGATGACTGGAGATCGCTAGTAAGCAAACGAGCGTTACTACACTGTATGTAAGTGTTGTTTGGACATGTTTACAAGAATAAAGCTTCTCATCATAAACAGAGACAGCGCAATTAGTGTTTTCTGTCGTTGTTTTACTTCTTAACCCTTTGAATACCCAACTTTCGCCAAAAAATACCGTTTTTAACCGTTTAGTCAGGTTTTTTGGCTGCCATGACGCTAATAAGCCTAAGTTTTGCTAAAAAAGCTTTTTTTTTTTTNAACTTGGGCTGATCAAAGACCAATAGTGTCGTGATGTCATAAACCAAAAAATCGTAACATTTTAAGGTCTGTCACGTAACATGAGATGATTTGTCCACTGGGTGTGGTAAAAAATAAGGTTATTTCCAAATAAAGCTGTAAAAAGCACTGAAAATAAGAGTGAACTGTCAAAACTTAGGTTCATTGCACAGAACAAAACAGAAACTTACATGATATGCTTATCTGACAGTCAATTCTTGTTTTGTAAAAGAGCAGGAAGTGTTGGCGTCAATACTATAAAACACTACTTCAAAAGGCTGTGGCTGGTTTCCATAGCAACCATTTTGAGTAAAGTCTAGAAATTTAATTTCTCTTCTTGAGTGCAATAGCACACAACTGATCTTTCTTCACCATATTTAAACAAACTTTTTGGTCCATTTGAGGGTACCATACCACCTTAAATCGAGCAACTTATTCGTGTCAATAGTTCTACAAATATGACATGATTTAGGAAAACAAGTTAACGTGTCGCTGGACATTTCGTACACCTCAGCATTTTTGTCAGAACCGGGTGTGTAATTCTCCTGGCCTCTGAAGAGTCAGCGTGGGAAGGTTCGTTCTCTTCTTCCGCTGCCCTTGTCTTCGTCTGACGCGTGGACTACGGTGCAAAACTACTAACCTTTCTTTCGTTTTTTTTTTTTTTTTTTTTTTAATTTACGTAACTCGTCTGATAAAAAACCTCCCCGTTTATTATTATTATTATTATTTATGTAACTCGTCCTATAAAGAACCTTCCTTTTTTTTTTGTTTGTTTTCGTTTTTGTTTTTGTTTTTTCCTCCCAGTCGTTGACTTTTTTGACATTCTGGTCCCCTGCTAATTGCTGGTTTTCAGTGTCACGCAATTCAAAATAGATCAAAATAAAAATCAAAACAGGTCAGTAGATAAAGTCCAGAATCTGGGAAATGAAATAAGGCAAATATGCAAAGACTCTCGCCAAAATTCTGGGCACAACAATTTTTCTTACGCGAGATATGCGGATAAATTTTTTACCCAGATTTATAGAGATTTGTATGGAGACGCCATGCTGGTGCCCATCCGTATGGGCACCAACATGGCGGCCGGAAACNTCTTTCTTCACCATATTTAAACAAACTTTTTGGTCCATATTGAGGGTACCATACCACCTTAAAGGATTATAAGAGTTGCCTTGATTGGTGATCCTCATTGATTATGTTAATTGATTATCCTGATTTTAAAACGCTTGTAGAGTTTCACAGTGATTCCCGCCAATTATTTAGTTGTCTTACTTTGCTCAGGGGCGCGTTAATTTTCACCACAGTAAGTCCACTTCTTAGACTCATTATTATATGACAGAGGAATTTACCTTATTGTGATTGGCTCAGCGCAGGCCAATTTGCAGAATTTGTTGTTAGTTTTTGATTTGCACTGCAGTTTGTTCGTTATTTTCGTGTAAACGTGTAATAAATGAGTAATCGTATGGAGGCTCGAGCAATTGTAGATTGTTGGCACTACTCGTGATGTTTGAAAATTCTTTCAAATTGCTCTCGCCTAAAAGCTCTAGCAATTTGGAGACAATTTTCAACTGATGACTCGTTGTGAAAAACCTTAACTGACCCTGCATTCATACGATTACCTACTAATTCTTAATCACCGCCTGCCGTAATGTAGAATTATCAATAGCTTTCTCTATTTGCAATATTTCAGTTTTTTAAACCGACGCTGAACAGTGTTCCTCTGTTGTTGTCAGGGTGGTGTCTGTAACTCGTGTCGAGCGTTCCACACTTATTTATTCTTTTGTACCGCTGATTGTGTTAAATTCTTTTGTCTTTAGGACATAAAACAGTTAATAATGGCTTAGCAAAAACTGTAATAATTAATTTCTTTCCCAGTGCAATGAAATATCTCATTGCAATTTGCGTTGACTTCCTATATTTTGAACAACGTGTATTTTAATTCACGTTAATTTAAGTCGGATTAATTTGAAATAGATTAATTAACGCTTTACAATCGTTAATTGCCTATAATGACGAGACCTTTCAGTCGCAAAACCATACCCTAGACATCTGAAGAGCAAAGATGCCGCCGATGATGTCTGTATTTAACCGCTACCCTCCCCCCCCTCCCCCCGCTGTATACTTCTCCGTGGATTGAACCGGTTCTTGATATTTTATATCGCTATTTTCCTTGGTAAAAAAAGCGCGGAAATTTTCTCAGCTCGGCGTTGATTTAATTCTCAATTTATTTTAATTTTATAAGAAAAACTTTCATTCAGCCTTAAATTCCGTGTAAACGAGCTGGCTGCATTTTGTCATGTTTTCTATATCATGACATTAGCCATTATAATCAGCCAATCAATCACAGTAGATCCTTTATTAAAACCGGATCTTATCTTGGAAACAAAATATTCACTATCGTCGCGTGGTTTGTGGCCCTTTGCAGACCTCTTGGAGCAGTATCTCTCTACATCTGGAAGTCATCTTATGACTTGAAGAACCATAAAAGAACTGTATTCCTGGCAAAAACTTCAACCAGGAGATGACTTTGGGGGCTGAAAGACATTTTATAATTCACAGAAACCATTGACACAAACTTCTTAAAAGCCTTAATAGTTAGTTTACTTTTCTTGGCACCAATTACCCATATTTCCATTATCGCCGTCATAAGGGCCCTTGTCAAAATGATCTTATTTCAACAATAGGAATTAAACCCGGTTCAGTCAGGCTCTATAAAAAGACGTTAGTACGTCTGATAGTGTCTTATATCCGTGCCTGGTTTCGTTGCAGATTAATTCCTTACATCTGTTGAGCGTTCAAGAGTGAGCACTTGCCTGAATCAACGTAGCGAAGAGTTTAAGTAAGTATTTTGAAAATTTACCATACACTTCTGTCACATGTAATACTTCGATCAGTCTGACTTCGATCGATATAATATACACAGTGGCGTGTGATTCGCATGTGTGGGAGATCAGGAAAGCGAATGTATTCACTAGATTTTGGAGAATTACTCAATGTGTGATTATTTGCCCAACTATAGAACAGTGTATTTGTTTCAATCGGCGAAGATCTGTCCTCGATGGTCCTCAAATTGTGTATACTGCGGCGGACTGTCTGGTTAAGATTCTAACCCATTTCCTTGACATCACTGACATCACCAAGTTGACGGATGTGCTATAATGAATCGTGAAGCTACTACAAGCCGTACATGTATATAGTTGATAGTTTGGGCTAGGCTCAGTCGACTCACTGGCCAGGGGGGGTATTCTGTAAATCTTTGGGTGGAGGTGTGCCGCAGGGACACTGAAATCACTTACCCTATGCTAGACCATGATCAGCTTAATTTTGCAACCCTATTCTCGACTACTGAGGAGCCAAAACCCCCTGCCTTTTCTCAGACTAGCTATTTTCCATGCAGAAACCTTATTACTATCTATGTGATAACAGCTTTTTGGGCTGCTTAAGTTGTTATCCTTGTTACAACAATCCAGAGGGAAACACGCTTTCAGCGACGGGGGTCAGACTTCTAGAGGTTTCGGGAACTATTTCAGCAAAACAATCCAACGGGACGATAGAGAATACGTAGCAACTTGGCTCCAACAGTAGAGCTTAATCCAATAACATACATAATAACATGCACGTAGACAGAATATAACCAGAAGGTAACCAAAGAATATTTTACAACGTACGACTATTTAAGCCGGAAACACGATTCTAAAGGATTACGCTAAGCTATCAAAAAAGTATTAACTAAACATTATCAGAAGGCTCGACTAACTATAACAGAATCCATCGTTTACAACATTAATAACTTTCAAAACAATACAGGTAGATAACAGTTTAACAAAGGACATACGGCAACTAAACCAATATCGTACAAAGTCACTTCCGAGCTTCAATTTCTGTTATACAATCACTCTGTTCTAGACTTAATTATTTATACACTTGCCACTTTCCCAGTAAATTATACCCTAATCTACACCAAAACAGTGCGATTTCTATAGCCCAAGGCTATCCCAGACTAAACTGCCTGAAAGCCATACCCTTCACAGCGGCAAAATCAATTCTCTGTATTTAACACGCGGTGAACATAGCAATTACGTTATGAATCAGTGTACAAATTCTGTAATGGAGTGGTGACAAGACATGTACATTGATTCTTCTTTTTTTTTGTAAGAATATATTTCATAAAAATATCGAGGCTGACATTGGCGAAATTTTAAGGATATTTCAAAAATATACTGAGGCTGAGATTTTGATTTTGTTTGTTGAAAACTTGTAAATACGATAGAGTCATATGTTTTTAACTAAACCGTATAATTTTCTTCCTTCTCTAAACGGCAAAACTAGCCAAAAAGCAACAAAAACAGCACTAGCCGTATGTTCTGTGCTAATAACATTCCTGCAAGAAGTTACGTGAGTCATATCAGGCTTAAGCTTCAAGAGTATTACGTAACTAATAATAGAAAAACTGAAAAAGGAGATAAAAATGTATGAAAAAAATAAAAAAATAGTGTTAATTAGCAAAGAACAAAACTCTAGAGTACTAGTCTACGTCATGGCAAACTTTGAAATGAAAGAGAAGAAAAACAAACGAAAAAACTCAAATAGCCACGAACTAACAGGAAAACTGCATGAAGACATGATTGATCATCGCAGTTATATACACAACTTAAGCAGTTGTGAAATTATAGCCTGAAAAAATTCAGGCCTGAACGGGATTCGAACCCATGACCTCTGCGATTCCGGTGCAGCGCTCTACCAACTGAGCTATTAAGCCAACTGGGAGCTGAACAGGCCTGTATTTTTTTCAGGCTTTAAATTTCACAGCTGCTTAAGTTGTGTATATAACTGCGATGATAAGTCATGCCTTCATATCTTTCTCCGCAGTTCAAATATATCATCTTTCATAAATTCACTTGCAGGAAAACTGTAATCACGTATTTTTAACAAGTATGTATATTCAAATATGTACATTTTGGTTTGAAAAATATATCATCTTAGTCAACGGGGCAGCACACCTCCTGCCAAAGATATCGTGACGTGCCCTTGGGGTTTTTATACCGTGGTTATTGTCCCTCACCGTGCATCTGGTGATATATTCAGTTTAAAACTGAATATATCACCAGATGCACGGTGAGAGACAGTAACCACGGTATAAAAATCGGAGTGCAGCCTTCTCCTACGTAAGTAATAGTCAGAGCTGTTAATATACTTGGTTCGCTAGCTATCGTTGAATCAGTAGCAACAACTGTTCAACTTGTTGGCGTGTGATGAAACAGGCTAAAGTTGAGGAATGTAATCCGTCTTTATCAAAATAATACAGTTTGCCGTTCTCTGTATTTTTTTAAAAAAATCTTGGCTTGCTTAGGAAGTGCAGGTATTCTACAGCGCAGGTATTCTGCTTCAAGCAAATCGTTCGAGAAACCGTACAGCGAATATTTAACGATCGTTTTGTAATCTATAGCTGCAAAGCAAAGTTTACGGTATTGGCACCCAAGGTAATCTCTTACAGGAAAATTCTGTGTTTGGATGATATCATTTCCAGCAAAGTTAGTTTCAAATTTTGCAGGTTTGCTCATCCTGTGGCGTTAGCTAGGAAGTGCCAAATACAGCTCTTATTGCACACGTAGGGGCCAAACCACCCCCCAAATGTTTCATCAGTTCTTGGATATTTCACATTATTTCGTATTACTTAAAAAGTATTGACTCTTTCTACACCAAACTTGGCAGAGGAGCAGGAGAGCTATTGCCAATTATATTTGCGTGAAAAATGTCAGTAAAGGTCAAAGCTGTGACGTCACAGTGATGAAGTCATGTTTCTTGCCACTTTTGAAGTTTTAAATATGCATATTTTTTACAATGTGTTCGAAAGAGCACATCAAGGGGAGTTGAAACCTGAAAAAATTTTGTCCATATCACAAAAATTAAATGAAATATGGCATTTTTAAATATGAAAAATAACTCTGCAAAATATGGAGTCCCCCTCTTGAGAAAAATCCCCAAATTGGAGCCGTAATTTTGTTCCAGCAAATCCAGCTATGTTGCACATGTGATGTGCCAGATGACTAAAGCAAAAACAAAGAAGAAAATCGGAATAAAAAATTATCCCTCTAGTGTTATTGCGTTAAAATAAGTTTCGTTACGTCATAACCTGTGACGTCACCCGTTTTTTAACTCTTAATACTATCCTAAGAAAGCCGAAAATCAAATTTCTAAAACCATACGATTTTTGACAACATCAAGCTTTCTATTTTTCTAGATTATTAGCCTTCCTAGGAAAAAACTGAAAAAAAAAACCAGATAGACTAACTTAAGAAGGACAGTATGGTTAAGCAAATTCCGGGGGGGAGAGCAAAAAAATATTTAATTTACCATATCTCAAAAAATAATCATCATAGCAAAAAGCGGTTTCCGGCATTTTACTCCTCAAGTCAAGGCCTTTCCAATGATATAATCTTTACGTCAGATTTTACAAAAAATTATAGCACGTTTTGTTGACGTCATCAATTATGACGTCATAATCTGATATTTTGTCACAACTTCCAAATTAAAATAAACTGGAGAACAAAGAAAGGTCATCTGCCAAACTTGGTTCAGAAATATATAAACCAAGCAAATATAGGCTTCATGAAACATTAGGGGGGTGGTTTGGCCCCTACGTGCAGTGATATTAAACATTTGTTAGTAAAACTTTGTGCTTATGTTTTACTACTTTGGAACTCGGCAATGCACCCAATTGAATGTCATTATTTTATGTTATGCAGAGTTCTGAATATAGGATAATTTTGTTCTGTTTGTTATTAATAGTCCAAAGGATCCCTTCTTTGAGCCGCAACCCTCTATTTCTCTCTATCCCGTGTCTGTATCATCACGATAACCTATCCGTGATAATTTTGTCAGTGGTATTCTTGTAATTCTCAACTCCAGGGTGGCTACCAATTGTAGTTTTACTGATCCATGAAATAGCCAAACTATCTTGTCGTCTTATCGTAGCGCGTGTTTTTATTTAACTGTGAAAACACGAAGAGCACATATTTTCCTTAGCTATCAAAAGAACACGCTTTGATGGAATCCTCTTATTAAGTGCCTAGTCAGTTTTTCTCACACAAATTGCGATACTACAAAACAAGTGCTGTTATCAGCTTTTCAACGGCCATGATCACCAAATAAAATCATAGCCAGGTCATCTGTGAGAAAAATCTCAAAAATGACAAAATCTTAAAATTCTGTAAGAGAAACTCGAAAGACACGAAACACTGCAGAGCTGGAACTGGTATGGATTGTTAGTCACGAATACGCACTATTACCCTTTGGGTCCTTTGGAATGAGTGCATTAAGCCAAACTGTTTAAAAATAGAGTGGTGCGGATAGTCAGGAGCTAACATCGTAAGATAATGGTTTGACACTCACTATTTTCTTTTTTGGATGTTTTGTTCAAGACGTTTCGGCTGGTGCTTGAGACTACATCAATTGAAATATTGACGTTAGTACGCGTGATTCAAAAAATTACGTTGACGACAGTCACACGTGTCTTTTAAAGGACCAAGTGGATGAGTTTCACCAACATCTCAATTCAATTAACCCCAACATACAATTCACTCTAGAACTTGAGGACACCAAGGGACAACGGCTACCTTCAGTACCTTAGCTTTTCTGGACATTATCATCACTAAGAGGGGTACGCAGCTTGACGTGAATGTCTACAGAAATCCAACACACACAGGCTGTACTGCGAGACAGTAATTATCCCTCATCCTTCATCAATAGCTGCGAAAGATCGCTGTCGAAACTCCCCACCGATCTACCATCCAATGGTTTCGTGATGCTACCCTATGTGCAGGGCATTTCGGAAAGGAT